GGTTTTTAAAATGAAAACAAGTAAACGAAGAGAAAATATAACAGAATAATAACTTCAGCTCTCCATACCTGTAGGTTCTGAATCCTCACAGATTTAATCAACCATGAATTGAAAATATTTTGGGAAAAAAACCCAATAAAACAATAAAGAATACAAATTTAAAAGCAATATAGTATGACAACTATTCACATAGTATTTACATTGCACTAAGTATTATGAGTAATCTAGAGATGATTTAAAGTATGAGGAAGTGCATAAGTTATATGCAAATACTGTATCATCTTAAAACTTGAGCATACAAGATTTTGGTACTTGAGGAAGCAGTCCCCCATATCTAGGGATGACTTTATATCATGGTATACAAAGGAACAACTTCATACCTTAAAATCTTGTGGGTGGACAGTAAAATGTCAGTTTTCTCTGTACATCTTCAAGATTCTTCTACTTAAAATTACTTTTGCAGTGAAATCAGTCTGGTCATTCACATCAACAAATCTCTTGATTTTTAGACATAAATAAAGATAATTTTTTCTGTTTTTTTCTCTCTCTTTTTAAAAAAATGTTACTTCTTCTGATTTAGAGTTTTGTTAACCTCAGCAACATTGTTTCCTCGAGTTTTTAGGCAAAAGCATACTGGAAAGTCTGCAATATTTTTCTAATGTGCTTTTGCCATATGTCTTTTAAGACTCATCTGTATGACCCAAATCTGTCCAGTGTTTGCACTTGTCATACATTTCTCAAGTATTATTTTGGAGATTTTCCAGGCCCGCAGTGTTCTTGGTCGTACAATTTTCCTTTATCTTTCCTTCTCTCTTTTGTATCCTTACTTTCTCCATGTATTTTTAAATTAACAATATTTTTAACCTGTGGAACCTTTTCAGGTGCCTATTTTTGGCTCCAGAATAGTAGTACTTATATCTTTAGATCCTAAAATCTGAAGAAGCATCTTGGATGAATTCACAGCTGCTAAATTTATCAAGTGACATTTTAAACTCTGTTTAGAATGGATTATTATCAGATCAGTAATCAGTGAATAATAGCAAATGATGCAGAATCCTAAACATGTTCTTTTTTCTCTCTGTGCCTCACGTATATTTATTAGGAAACACCTCAATGATTTCTTGATTTCTTGTGTACACACCCTGTCACTATTGTAGGCTATTGTATCATAGAATTATAATCCATGTATTTAATTCAAAATAAACATATTTATACAATAATACTAGTAGACATTAATTTGTTCTACATTAACTTTCTAGAGAATAGACATTTTATTAATTTAATACGGAAATAAATGAGTGTACCTAAATCATAGTAAAGCTTAATGTATTATATATTTTAGTCTACCTATCAGAATTTTTTGAATCCATTAATATAAAATGTGAAGAGTGAAATAAAACACTTGGGCCTTTTGGACGGTGGAGGGTAGGAAGAGGGAGAGGATCAGGAGAAATAAGTAATGGGTACTAGGCTTGATACCTGGGTGATGAAATAATCTATACAACAAACCCCCGTGACACAAGTTTACCGACGCAACAAACCTACACTTGTACCCCGAACTTAAAGTAAAAGTTAAAAATATGTAAAAAACAGTTAAAACATATTAAAAATTAAATTACACAGAAATTGTGATAGTGCTTCTTGCTTTATTTTACTCATGACATATTATAATGTTAATATTTGTTTTCATATATTTTCTTTGGTTATTTGTACACATTATTTCATATGTCTTGGTATTTGTAGTTTCTCCAAACAAAAATATTTGAAAAAGTGCAATCAGACATTGAAAGAGAAGTATCAGTGAAGTATATTCATAGGCAGAGATAGGACAAATAAGGAAAAAAATTGATCAAACATAAAAGTCATAAAGTTATGAAAAAAATTAGCAGGCGAAATGAAAGAAAATGATTTGAGAGTACTGAATGTAAAACTATGCATTTAAACCATGATATTCTAACCTAATTTCTAAGTATATATTTATATGTTTTATATATATATATAGTTGTGGTTTATATATCTTCATTATTTTCTTGTGGAGACAAACATTGAGGTTACATAGCACAAATTTTAAAATAGATTTTTTTCCCTCAGTTATCATCATTTATTTGTTTTATCTTACATTTAGTGTACTTTTTCAATTATACCATGACTTAGTTTGGAATGGACATCAACAGGAACAGTTTACATGAAAACTTTGTTTTAAAAAGTCTCTATAGTTAACTCCTGAAGACATAACCATGATAACATGGCCACATCTTTTGTACAGATTTTTTTGTTAAGAAAAATTTAACCCCCTCACCTCTGCATTTCGTACATTTTCTTCATGTATTTTATAGAATCAAAAAAGTGAATATAAATATGTGTACTGCAATTGTTATTTGTGGCAGTAATAGAACTAAATTAACTCTCACAAATCTATTTCAGATCTCCTGAATTTGAGCAAATCATGTCTTTGTTAATTGGCTTTGATGACATTATTGAAAAGTATTCAGTATCTTTGATGTATTTTTTGAATTTTTTTATTCTAGCTGTAAAACCAGATATACTTTTGGTTCAATCCTGTTTTTTCTATGTACTAACAATACAATCTCGTATAAATTACTCAAAATCTCTGACTTTATTTTTCTAATAGTTAAAATGAGTATAATGTCAATGTCATGGAGCTGTTACAAAAACTAAATGAGTGGCTATACTTTCTGAATACCAGTTGCCTCAACCTGACTTTGTTTACTCTTTTTTATAATGCAGTGATACAACCCAAAAATATGAAAATGGCACATTGGAAATAAATGATAGTGGAATATTTTGAGTACTCTACTGTTAATTATGTAAGTAAATGGGAAAAGTGCAGGGAGGATATTGATGTCTTGCTTTTCTTCAGCAGAGCTGCATTTAACATAAAGGGGAGTCATTTTATTGAATAATAAAAGACTGACAATCATTGTGATTGGCTGACAGCCATTACTGCAGTGTAATTCTAAATAGCTTGTTTTTCAAAGTTCTTCTTGAACAACTCTTTAAATTCCAGACATTGCCCAGCCTGGTTGAAAGGTTCAAAACTCATTTTTAAAGTGAAGTTTTTCACATTTGAATACCACTGTGATATGAATGATGGAAAAATATATGCATTAAAATATTTTCTTCCTAAATGTTTAGATCAGATATATTTTCAGATGGAAGAGAAAATGTGGAAAATTTAACAAACCAAGTTTTAAATCCTAGATAAAATTCATTCAGGAGTTATGGAAGAAAAAGATCACGTGTAAAGAGATCTTACTTAAAAAAAAAAAAAGTCCAACATGTTTTACAGTGAAAGCACAATATTTGATCTGTATTAACCAGCTTAAAATCCTGTGATTTCCGAGTACAACTCAAGGCTTCCAAAGTTATCAAATCCACTTTGATGTATTCATCTCTCTCAGTCAGTATTTCTAATCAACAATCCTCCCTGGAAAGTATGTATAATAAGTGGGTGTACAGTTGGCAACTCACCAAAATAAATATTTAATGATATTTTAATGGCTATTTTAAATCTCGTTTATTTAAATTGCAGATTAAAACTTTATTTGGCCAATGAATTTCTAAGCACAATGTTTGAGAACCATATTTGCTACTGAAGCTCTGTGTGAAGGATGTGTACTTAATTTTCAGAATGTCGAGGTTAGATCATCTCTGGTGGAGGCATTTTATCTGAAACGTCAGCATTGGAAACCTTGAGATAAAGATCGGAAGCAGGAATCTGTGAAGTGCAGAATTGTGTTAACTGCTCATTCTCAAACATAGAGATGCCAATTAATTCCACACAACCTAGATTCAAAGCAGCACAGGGAAATGGTCCTGAGGTGAGTATTGTACAAAAATGAAGAAAAATAGATGCGTTCCAGCGTCCACAAAGCTGATTCTTCAACAGGCAGTAATAGAAGCCCAACGCACCCAGCGATTGGCTGATGGCATCTTTGTTCAGGCGATCGATCAGCGCCCTAACCCAGATGCTGGGTGAAGAAATTCCTCTCCCACCCTCACCTTCAGAATCCACTGCTCAGCCACCTGGGTTCCCACGGGGTGCGCCACCGCCTCACTGCTGGTACACGTCTCCCCCTCTCGACCGCCAAGTGCTTGCTCCCTCCAGGCAAGCATTCACACAATGGACTCACTTGTTTCCCTTGCCCCTCTCCTTTGACTTCCAGCCTCAACCAACAACTTGAGCAAGAGTCAAGCAGGAGTCTCTGCCATAGAGCATAGACCCGTAGAGCTTTCCAGACCAGCTCAGAAGCACGCGCGCACACACAGACAAAACAAACAATGCCTGGTCCACGAATGAATAAATTGAAGACACTCATGCCCCCACCCACCGCTCCGCAACCCGCAGAAAGAAACCCGGGACGGGGTTTCCTAAATAAGAGATTATGTTGTGTCTTTCAAACTGCAAGCATTCCCCCTTGAAGACGGCGAAAGAGAGGCTGTGCGTTCAGTTGGCAATAAAGATTGACGGTGGCTTTGCCCGTGACAACGCCCCCAGCATCGCGCTGAGCCAGGTTCCCTGAGAATCGGGAGGGGGAAACGCAGATCTAGGGAGGAGGGAACAGCAGAGGCAAAGGGAGCTTGGGAGGGATGGGAAATGGAAGATCAGGGGGGAAAAAAAAAACAACGAATGAGTGAATCTGGGCTTGAATAGTAAAACTTCCAGAGAGAAGAGGATGGGATCTCTCCCCAGGTGAGATCTCTCCCCTCGAGATGAAATATAGATGAAATACACAAGGAAGTGGCAAGCAACAACTTTCAGGTGAGCAGCAAGTTGTGCACCTCCTCTCAAGGCTCTGGATCAGCACCCTCTGAGCTCCCCCCACAGCACACACTCCCAATCCGAGGCGGCGGCGGCAGCAACAGAGGCAGCAGCATCAATCGCGGCAGCGGCGGCAGAGGCGGCGGCAGCTGCGCGCCTCGGGCCCAACCCCGCTCGGCTCCCCCTCTCGCCGGCGCCCTGCCTGTCTTGCGTGTGCGTGTGCGTGTGCTCAGCCTCAGCGTGAGGGGCACCTGCTCGTCTGGGCTCACAGCGGAGGCAGCCTTGCCGCGAGCTGCCGCTGCCGCTGCTGCCGCCACTGGTGCTGCAGCTCGCAGGCGCCAGGCTCCCCGTCGCCGCCGCCGCCGCCGACGCCGCCTCGCCAGCCAGAGTTGGGCTCCGTGGGCTTCCCCCCTCGCAGCCTGGGTCCTTCCCCGCTGCCTGCAAGTCAGCCTGGCTCCGAGTCACGTGTCAGTGCCTGAGGCAGAGACTGCGAGGAAAAAAACGCGCTTCATTCCTTCTTCCACCGCCATACTGTATTTTATACTAAATCTCATTTTTATTACAACATTTTACTCCCGCTCGGTGAGTACCTTCTCAGTGGCATTCTTGTCCTATTCTTTTTTTTTGTCCTTTTTTTTGTTTTTTGTTTTTTGTTTTTGTTTTTGTTTTTGTTTTTTTCTTTTTTTCCACTTCTTTGATTATTGTTTATATTTGGGAAAGCTGGAGGAGCATGATTTTGAGCCTTTTCCTGAATCCAAGTTTTTCTAGCATGCGATCGTTCTGTAGACAAGGCGCTGTGTCTCGGAGTCCGCGGCGACCGTGCCCGCTGGGAGCGTCTCCCAAGTCCAGCAAAATGTGCAACTGGTTTTATGGAAAAAGCGATGTGAAGTATGGTGCCTATTTTTTTCCTTTGTAAAAATAAAAAGCATGTTTCTAACTCTTTTTTTTGCATACTCTTTTTCTGATAACATTTTTGTATAGGTGGGATTTTACGGCAGTGTTTACAAGTTTGTGGTCTTGCAATACTGGTGCAAACCACTGAGCAAAGACATTAATTTTATATTTTTGTGCCCTTTTTGGAAGCCGGTGAGAACAAATTCGTTTTTTTCCCTCCTGTTTTTGATACCCATTGATAACATGAAACTTTTCTTACAGCTGGTGACTGGGATCATTTTTAAGCAAAATACTTTTTTCCTCCTTTAAATTAACTATGACTTTTGCACATTTGACTTTTTTAAAAAAACCGAGATAATTTTATGATAGATATCCTGATATCTATATCTATATTGTCCCTTATTTCTCCCCCTTCCCTCCCCGTAAATCAATTTTCAAATGATGGCAGTGGAAGGTTTTTCTGGAAAAAAAAAAAAAAAAAAGAAGTGCGGTTTGGTTTCCTTGTCAACGGAGGATGAAGTGAACAGCTGAGCAGCTCGCAGAGAGCAGGTACTTGGTCCCCTTGGAGGCGTTTCCCGGGTGTGCAGTGGCAACACTGGTCCTAGCAAAGAAATGTGTGAGTGTGAGTGTGTGTGTGTGTGTGTCTGTGTTTGCGCGCGCGCATCTCCGGGCAGTGTCCGCGCCGGAGGTGGGGAGAGCCGCGCCGGGAGCCAGGGAAAACCAAAGTCAGTTCCCGGCTTCAGGATCGTTTTCTAGATGTGCACAAAATACAGTCCCCTCCCCCCACCCCCCACCGTGAGCTGCGCCCAGGTCATCTCCCGGCTGGGCGGGTGGTGTCTGCGCTGCGGGCGGCGCCGGCCGGGCACTAGGTGGCCAGCGGGCCCTGTAAGTTCTCCGAGGGCCACTTGCACAGCAGGAGGGGCGAGGGCCGTGTACGTGGCGCAGGCCGTCGGGCCGGCTAGAGGGGACCCCCAGAGCACCCGGGAGATGGGGGAAGAAGCGGCAGAGACCGCATCTTCCGGAGGGACTGGCTCCAGGCCACGCGGGCCGGAGCTCGAGACATTTCCAGAGCCTTGAGGATGGCACCGGCCCCCGCACGCTCAACTCCTGCTCCTCCTCTTCGCAATGAGTAAACGACGCAGTAGGTCTTTCCCAGCCTATTTTGCTTTTCCAAAGGGCTTTGCTTTCTTAGTGGTGCTGTCTTTGGATCTTTTCTTTATGCCTGTTGTGTTGCGTTGGTTTTAAGTGCCTGCTGGTGTCGTCTTCCAGGGAATGGGGAAATAGTTTCTTATAAGATGGTCACTTGGGTTTAATGTTGAGGACGACGCTGTTAGTTTGCAGTAATGACCCTACAGCTCTAAGGTATAAAAATGCCCCTTATTTAAATTTTATTAGAGGGAGAGTTTTCCCTCTTTTTAACCACCTAATACTGGCTCTAAAGGTTTTCCCCTGAGAACTGTGTACAGGGCAGGAGTGAGGGGTTGGTGATAGAGGTGATGATTTCGTGTGTTGGTAGCATTGAAATACTCAGTGTTGAATGTATTCTATTATATTTTATGATTATCCTGTTACATGTTTTCAATATAATTTAGCATTACTTTTCAGAGATGGACCAGTTCGCAATAAAAAGCCTTTTCTGTATTTAACACTGTGACAGAATCTGCTGGAAATTTTTCTGTCCAAATAAATTTCGTAAAGGCATACATCTTAAAATCTGGAGAGTCACCATTATTTAAATACTTTGATTTTCTTACCTTTCCCCCCCTTAAATGAAAAGCTTAGCTTTAAATTATCATGTGTATGTAGTTTGGATTCTGTAAAATAAACATAAGGCAAATGAAACAACTTTTTACCTCTCGGATGAAGTTTTCTTCTGGGTAACTACAGAAATAAAAACTGACTCCAGCATACAGAGGGGCCCATGACAAAGGGGTTTATAACATACACTGGCTTTTTCAAGCAAATATTTCACTGTCTGTAACCTCAGTTTGTGGAATGAAAAGTTTTATGCCTTATTTTTTACTCTTTGTGGTCAAAAAGTAAGGAGTGCAAAGGGCCATTTATCTGTAGAAGATTAAAAGTTAGTGTAATATCTGGAAAGCTATATATATTTTTTATTCACAACTCATGCAAGTATCTCAAAAGTCTTTGGACATTTCATTGTATGTGAGGTATTTTGTTCTCACAGTAGCTTTTCCCTGTGAAGGAAATCCTCTTGCGTTTATATAAAGAAGATAGTTTATGTCACTGTCTGTGGACACCATATTTGATATCTTGATGTGTATAGTTCTAAGATTTGAAGCCAATATGATGGCACCAAGCCTGAAATTAGGATTTTCTTATTTTGTATAGTGAGCTAATTACTAAAATATATGGTTCAAACAGCTAACATATGGTTCAAATAGCTAACATAAAACATTTAAAAAGCCATTTGCAACATTCTGTGATTTTAAAAATCATTTAAATTATAACAATGTATGTACATAGAAGTGCTTATTTATTAAAAAGCAAGACAATTTGTGTGTATAATATATTTTTGTATGTTTTATGTGTTGTATGTCGTTTAGTTCTTTTAAGAGAGAGAGAGACAGAGCAAGCAAGCAAGAAAGAGCTTGAGTGATCGAACCTGCATTTTCATTAAGAGTATCAGTTGCTGCCCTAAGGTAGAGGTAGTTTGTGTCTTAAGATTGGACAAAACACTAGCTGTATTGTATGATCTTTCCCAATGAGATTGAAACCATTAATGGGACCAAAGACGATTTTAATGTGAGGACAGACAGGTAGTTGGGCTTTAATTTCTGTAACTTAAGACCGTTCTAAGAACCTTTGGTTATCTATGTTTTCATTTATTTAAGATTCATTTTTGATTATATTGTATACTTGTATTACATTTGTGCCTATTACATTCAAAATTTTCAAATTTCTTCCTGTGTGAATCATACTGGGAATTCTACAACTCTTAAACTGGCCACCTGTTTAGTTTTTGATTTAAAATTGTTGAAGGTAGTATCCTACATTTAGCACCGCCTACTGGCTTCTCGTGGAAAAAATACATTTTTTCATTCGCCAAGAAACCCACAGGGATTTACATCAATTTAATTGTGCAGATCTTTTCAACTGCTTACTGAGAGAGAAGGAGGGAAAAAAAGTTTGTATGCTGTAAGGAGAGAGGGTTTCCAGGGTAAAGGTAGGGACCGAGGGAAAGAAGACCCACAAACTAAATTGGCATTGGATCACTATCTGACCTCAAACATTTTACTGTCTAAACTGTGACAAAGAAATAATCACAAAATGAAAACCTATTAAATTTTCTAGGACTTTCTATGGGATAATAAAATGTGGGTATTGTTTAAAATCTTGGATTACTAAATTAATTTTACAGTGTCTTTCTCAATCGATATAAAGAAAGAAAGTTCTAGTTGGAATTCTGTCTTGAGTGTGTGGTCTGTCGAATAATATTTAAATGAATAACTTTTCATCATTGAAGATTAACAATTAATTATTTTTATATGTATTTTTCATGGACATAAACAATCACGTAGCACCCTAATTTTTTTCTTAACATGCATCAAATAGTCGCACTGTGTTGTTGTATATACAAGGGGGAAAAGTTCCAAACATACAATTATAAAGACACATCCTTAGCCATAATAGATGCGTTACCTTTCTTAAAAATGATAGTTGGTTTATTTTCTCTAATTTGTATGAAAGTCTAGTGGCTGAAAGAGCTACTATAATAATACAAACAAATGATGCCTTCAGAATATAAAAATTATTAATTAGAAAAATAATTTGATATGCTAAACATTTTCTTCCTAGTTGAAAGAAATGTGAAATATTTGGATAGCTGTTTCTTAAATGCCGTATTTACTTATTTTAAGAGCCAGTAGTAAGTATATAGAAATTCCAGTGAGAAGTATATGTCTGTTGCATTTTTGCAACTCTACGCCAGTAAAAGTGTGGTCATATTTTGTTTACTGTTTAGTGATAGTGTAAGCAACCAAGTAGGGCATTCATTGATATAACTACATTTCAAGTCTTCAAAAAGCTCCATTATGGAAGTAGAAGAGAAGTGGATATGTAAGATTGAATATTAAGAACAAATTTGAGAAAAATATTTCAATTACAATTGATTTTTCTCTCTGACTTTTGAAACTTTAATTTTTATTTTAGTTATTTTTATTTTTTCTTTCCAACTTTTAGTTTCAAGGGGTACATGTACAGTTTTGTTACATGGCTAAACTGCATGTCACAGGGGTTTGCTGTACAGATAGTCTTATCACACATGAAATCTTTATTTTTAAATAATGATTAGCTGAGATTTAAAAATAATTATTTCTTCTTTTATCATACTGTCATTATGACAATTCTGTGTTTTGCTATGAAAACCTGAAGTAATGATTAATTTTATTCTTCAAATTTTTATGGACTTCCAGAAAGTAAATAATAACATGTTTAAAAAGGTCCTTATCGATCTGCAGTTATTGTTATTATTCTCTTATTACTATTACTGTCTACTTCCAGTGACTTGTACAAATGCTTGTAAAGATCCTATTTCTATAATTCAGTATGATTCTTTGATTTAATAAATTTCTGTTCAGTAATTGGCAGGCAATATAAACTTTCATTTTATTGGCAATAAAAAGTTTATTTTGCTACATCATGATTTTGAAAACAATATTCAATAA